CCACTAAGGCTACGTCTTCACTGAGAGACTCCCCCTCCCACCCCGGCATAAAATAAGCTAACGAGGGACTCATTAGCATAAGACACAATCTCATTTGCATATTTTCTGCCGATCTGTTTTTGCACAAAATCAAGCAGTGTGGACGTTTCCTTTTTGTGCAAGATCGGTGTTCCTCCTTTTTTGAGGTATAAGGATCATGTGCAAAAGGGGGGTTTTGTGCAAAAAGGAAACCCCCACACGGCGGCTTTTTGCGCAGAAACCCCGCGCACAAAAAACAATGGCAGAAAATATGCTAATGATGTTGCGACTTATGCTAATGAGTTCCTCCTTAGCATATTTTCTGCCCAAAAAACTTGTAGTGTAAACGTAGTCTGAGCACCCCGCTGCCTCACATCGGGGCTTTGCCCTGCAGCCTTCCTGGGGCCCAGCGCAGAGCGTCCCCTGGCGCAGCTGGTTCAAGCCCCCGCTGCTCACACCAGCAGCGTAAAGCCAGTGGCAAGGACCCTGCTGCCAGGCAGAAGGGGAGCCATCAGCTGCAGCTGGGCACTGGCACCATTGCGGGCCGGCCCCTGGTGCTACTCTTGGCCCCCAGAATCGCACCTCTCTGCACTGGAGCATGTTGTTTGTCTGCGCAGTGCCACAGCTGTCCCCTCCCCTCCCCCCTGCACACCATGGCCATGGTGCCTGTCTCCTGGGGGAGCCTGGGCAACTGGCTAAAATTGAACTAATTAACACTAACGAAGGATGTTTGTCAAGCAGCAGTGAGAGCCCCCTGCAATAGGGCCGTATGGGCAAAAGGCTGGGATGTCCTGGTGTGGGGTGTGTGTGCATGCACACAGGTTCTACTGCCCTCTACTGGGTAGACACAGAACTGCACTCTGCTCTGTCATAAGCCCCGTACTGCTAGCAGCTACTGGGGGGGTCGCAGAAGGTGGGAGACGATGATTTTAAGCAAGAAGCCCCAAGTCGATTGCCCGCTGCTGCCGTGAATGGTGAGTAGCGGTGCGACTCAGCCCAGGGAAACCAGGGATTTCTTTATGGTGTTCTGGTCTGGCTCAGGATGCCCTTACCGGGGAAAGGCTGCCCGAGATCCAGAAACTCTCTTGGCCAGAGAAACCTGTGGCAGCTGCTAGTGCCGGCGGCAGTGAATGGTGTGGCAGGATGGAGGTGGAGGGCAGATGTGCTGCTGGCCACAGCTGGGGCGGGGCAGAGCCTCTTCCAGACGGCTCTGGGAGCTCAGCAGAGTGCCCGTTCAGATGTGGGTTGAGGCCTGACCAAGGGTTTGAGAGGATTGTCTTTTCGCTCAGCCTGATTCACCCATTGCTGACTGTTAGGAGCTTTCCATCCTGGGGGACCCCAGAGTGCTGTCCAGGCTGCAGTCAGTATACCCGGCTCACTCACCCCCTCCCCTTGAATGCAGCTACCTCTGGGGTGGGGTGCAGCTGCTGCTCGACGGTGCACAGCGACGCTCCACTACCACACAGCACAGGAAGCCACAAAGAGTGCTGCGCCCAGGTGAAGCAGCGGGGGAGGGGAAGGGGCGGGGGAGGGAAGGAACTAACAGGAGGAAGTGAATTTTGCCCAAAAGGCTGGAGCCTGCCGCCTAGAACCTGTGTCGAGCGCTGGGCTGGCCCAGCCTGTGTGACCCTACAGGGCCAAGGCCCGGAGCAGAAGGCACTGAAGCGCAGGGAGCTGTCAGGAAACGGGAGGAAACGGGAGAACCGAAGTTCTGCTGTGCAGCCGGGCTGGGAAAAGTCAGGGCGCTCGCTGCCCGTTCCCACACGCCCTGGGCAGGGAAAAGTCTTTGTGAGGCAAACGCAGGCTGGAATCTGGCATGGGACGGGCGCCGCTGCCTCGTCCACCCTGCCACGAGTTGGTGAAGACGGGCACACGAGACAATGCCGGGCTCGCCGGAGCCTAGGGGAGCCAGCTACACCACCGTAAGGGAGTGGGTATCAGCTACAGTCCAGCAGTGGGGAAACTAAGGCCTGGGGGCTGGATGTGGTCCCCGGCTTGCCTGGATCCGGCCCCCGAGGCTCAGCCTCCCCCCTCCAGCACTGGGAAGCCCACATTAGCACACCAGTCCCCTCCGCCCACCCGCTGCCCCACCTCGGGGCTGGCACTCACAAAATCTACTAAGCTGGGCCCCCTAGGCTCTGGCGGATGCTGGGAATGTGGGGAGTGTCTCTCCTCAGAGCCCCGTCAGTAGGGCTGGGTGTTGTTTTGCTTCTCACTTGTGTGCGGTCCCCGACTGATTTTTCTGTGGGTCAGTGGCCTCCGACCCAAAAAAGCCCCCCCCCAATTTACATGCAGAGGGGCTGGCGGTGAAGGCTCTAGCAGGGACATCAACTAGAGACGTAAGTTACAGCCCCGCCTTTCATGGGCGGGGCCAATGGGCTCCCCCTAGTGTTCTGAGGTGCACACTGCATCTGCTCAATGTGACCCTGGTCCATCGGCATGAAACGCATCGGCGACAGGCCCGGCCCGGAGGGGATCCTGCCTGGGCCCTGCCGCAGGCCTGAGCCGGGAGCACAAGAGGAAGGAGCCAGCAACTTACTTCACGGAGATGGAGAATTCCCCCGGGGCGCTCTCGCTCTCGCGGATCAGGAAGGCTCCCAAGTGCTTGCGTTTCAAGAGGATCTCTTCGGCCAGGTGCCTGGAGATCCTTCCCGCGTACCACCTGGAAGGGGTCACACAAAGAACCAGCGCTGAGTGGGAGCAACGACACGGGCCAGACCCAGCCGGGGCTGGCAGGTGTGAGATGATGCTGGGCATTAGGTTGCATTGAAGAGGGAGGCCTCAGACTGGGCTGTGCAGAAAGACTTTAAGATCAACTTGTCAGCCAGCCCCTGCATAGCCTAGGGCAGAGGTTCTTCCCCGGTGACTCCTATCTGGAGCCTTGGGGAGCAGAGGCATGGACAAGTGACATGGTCGGTGGCAGGGCCAAGATTAGATTCCAAGTCTCCTGAGTCACCATTCAGTTCCATACCCACTAGGTCCTGCTGCCTCTCAATGTCCTGGAGCTTAGGCACCCGCCAGAGCTGTGGCCACAAACTAGCGTAGAAGCTTTGCTCTAAAATGCAGCCCTCAGGAGATGGAATGGGACAGAGAGACGGAAAGACCTTCTTTCACCCCAGAGAGGGTCTCTTGTTCACCTGCCCCTGAAATGCAGCCACCTCTGGGGTGGAACACGCGTCCTGCACCGTGCGGGAAGTGCCAAAGAACTTCTCTGGTTGAGATAACGGGGGTGGGAGAGATGTTGGGATGGACGGTGTATAAAATGAGCCCAAGTACCTAAAAGGGTGGTACAAAGAGGAGGGAGAAAAATTGTTCTCCTTGGCCTCTGCGGACAGGACAAGAAGCAATGGGCTGAAACTGCAGCAAGGGAGGGTTAGGTTGGACATTAGGAAAAACTTCCTACCTGTCAGGGTGGTTAAACACTGGAATAAATTGCCCAGGGAGGTTGTGGAATCCCCATCTCTGGAGATATTTAAGAGCAGGTTAGATAAATGTCTATCAGGGATGGTCTCTAGACAGTATTTGGTCCTGCCATGAGGGCAGGGGACCGGACTTGAGGATCTCTCATGGTCCCTTCAAGTCTTATGATTCTGAACACCCCTCCAAGCAGGGCCCTAAGACCCATATCTGACCAATTTGCATGTGGATGGCTGGGAGGTGGGGGGGGCTTGGTCTCATACCTGGGTCATAGCCCAAGGTTAGTGTGCAGTGTAGACATATCCTTTGTCTTTCCTGCCTAGGGGCCTGTGAGCCGCCCCCCCCCATTTTCCCCACTGCTGTCTGAGCAGAGCAAGATGTTTGACTCCCCCTTTAGTTGTCCCCGTGATGGCAACATCCTTTCGATTGCCCTGCGCTAGGTCATCCTATTGACCTCAGGCCATATCTTCAGTTTGTCCAGATCCTTTTGAATGATGACCCTACCCTCCAAAGCACTCGCCACCCTTCCCAGTTTGGTATCATCTGCAAACTTAACAAGCGTCCTCTCTAAGCCTGTATCTAAAGCATGGAAGATATTGAACAGAGCCGGCCCCGAACCAGACAACTGCGGAACCCCACTTGTTACGCAGAGTTGAGAACCGTGAATAACTACTCTCTGAGAACGATTATCCAGCCAGTTATACACCCACCTTACAGTAGCCCTATGTACATGGTATTTCCTTAGTTTATTGATAAGAAGGTCATGCGAGATCGTATCAAATGCTTTAAAGTCTAGCTAAGAAGGGGCGAAGGGCTGGTCTGAGGGCACACGTTTGAACAGGAGAAGCTGGGGAGAGAAGCAGCAGGTGAGATGGGACCCGATAAAGCAGGAAATCAAGGGAGAGAAGGCATCCGGAGCTGACAGAGGGGGTGGGGCAGAGCAAAGTCCTGGGTGGAACCCTGTGCTACTAGCTTTAAACCCACAGCTGGCTTGAGCCCTGCTGGTAGAGATGCGATGGCTGCCATCGGGCATGTGGGTGGACGGGAACCCCAGCAATTTTTTACAGGCAAATGTGCTGCTCACGGGTTAGTTTCACTTCTCTTTCTGGTCAGTTTCAGTCCCGGCTCAGGCGCTAAAACGGTCCCTGAGGTTGGGGCTGCAGACGTTGCGGAAGGGGTTAGAGCGAGACAAAAAGCCATTGTCCCATGGAATAAAAATAACTCTCCGATTCAGGCTGCGAGTGTGTGAATCCTGTGTTTGCTCTGTTCTTTTCCCCACCCTGCAAGGGGCTCCCGACCAGCCTGGGGGCGGCCTTGTGACTCAAACTCACAAAGGGGCTAGCAAGAGAAGGGACATCCACCCAGCTTTGGCTGGGGGAGCTGGCTCCCCCTGCGCTGGCCTGGGTCTGTCTGATTTTCTCTGGCAAAGGACCGTGCGCGGCCTGGACCGCAGCACTGAAACCCACACGCGAAATCCCTACGTCCCTCGTGGAGGCGTGATGGGGAGGACACGGGGACTTGGGGCTGGAGCAGCTGTGCCAAGTCGTCCTGCTTTCTCGACTGGTTCCCATCCCTGCTCGGTCCTGCTGCCCTGCCAGACACCGGGGAGCCCGGCACAGAGAAAGGTCCCATCAGGGGCCAATTTTGCTTCCATGAAACACTCCCATTGACCTCAGCGCCACTTGGGGTGGACACCACCAATGAGAATTAGTTGCCTAAACCCCTGGGTAACATATTCTACCACCACCTTTCCTCACATTCAGCACCCTATTGACATCAAGAGCTAAGTATGGGACACTTCCTGCCCACAAATTCGCACCAGGACTGTTATCGACAGGCCATTTGATTCCCCTCTCTCGCTTCTTATTCTGAGGGTGCCCTTTTTCTCCCCACTCAAGCGCATCCCCTCTGAGGAAAAACTTTAAAAACAGCAAAGAGTCCAGCAGCACCTTAGAGACTAAAAACACAGGGGCTGTGTCTAGACTGGCAAGTTTTTCCGCAAAATCAGCCGCTTTTCCGGAAAAACTTGCCAGCTGTCGACACTGGCCGCTTGAATTTCTGCAACACTGACTTCCTACTGTCTGAAATCAGTGCTTCTTGCGGAAATACTATGCTGCTCCCGTTCGGGCAAAAGCCCTCTTGAGCAAATCATTTGCACAAAAGGGCCAGTGTAGACAGTTCAGATTTGTTTTGCGCAAAAAAGCCCCGATGGCTAAAATGGCGATCGGGGCTTTTTTGCGCAAAAGCGCGTCTAGATTGGCACAGACGCTTTTCCGCAAAAAGTGCTTTTGTGGAAAAGCGTCTGTGCCAATCTAGACGCTCTTTTCCGCAAATGCTTTTAACGGAAAACTTTTCCGTTAAAAGCATTTGCGGAAAATCATGCCAGTCTAGACGTAGCCATGGAGATGGTACCATGCACTTCCGTGGGCGCAACCCACTTCTTCAGCTGACAGGAGTGTTGGAAGAAGTGGGTTTTACCCACTCAAGCTCGTGATTCTCTATATTTTTGTTAGTTGCGAAGGTGCCACAGGACGACTTGTTTTTAAAGTTACGGAGTAACACGGTTCCTCCCCCTCCCCCGAGACTTCTAAACTCCCGTGATGCTCTGGGGCCCTGTGCTTGGGCCAATTCAAGAGGAACGGAGTCCCCTGGGAGCCCCAGAGCTAACGCTCAACCTGCCGACCGAGGCACAGCGTCCTCGCTCACTGGCTCCCGCACATGATGTTTCCTCTCTGCTCCCCACAGCCGGAGTGGTGCCGCTGGGCATCGCAGGCTGGCACGGCTCGAGCGCCAGAGAACACTGCATGGCCCCATGTACGGTGCGGAGTCCCGCAGCCCCAGTTACCCCTCTGCTGCACGGGAGAGGCTGGGCTCGCTCTCTGCGTAGGGCCTGTGAGCGGATCGGGTGCCCGATCATGGGGATTTCGCAAGGCCGCGATTGTGCTCCCGGCTGAGAGAGACGAGCCGTGCAAGGCGGCTGTGCAGAAACGCCGACAGCCCCAGCCACATCCTGTCACCCGTCTCCCACGCGGAGCTTTGCGGCTGTTCTTTTCCTGAGGCGGCTGCTTTATCTGGGTGGCACATCCCCCAGGGCTGGCAAGGCAGAGGCCGGAGGGGTTCCCAGGGCCACTGTGAAGGCGGAGAGCAAGAGGCCACCCCGTCTGGGAAGGGCTGCACAGCAGTGTTTTGGGAGCTCTCCTTCAGCTCCTCGGCTCCTCCCACCCCTTGTCACTTGTGAACACTTGTGCACACGAGTGTTGGTGGGATGGGAAATCCTGGGGTCACGGGTGAAGGAGGTGCCAAAACCAGCCTTCCCGATTCCTTTACAGCAGGGGTGTGCAAACATTTTGGCCCGAGGGTGACATCAGGGTCTGGAAATTGTACGGTGGGCCATGAATGCTGAGGGAATTGGGGTGGGGCTAGAAGTGAAGAGTTCTGGGTGCGGGAGGGGGCTCTGGGTTGGAACAGAGGCATTTGGAGGACAGAAGGGGGCTCTGGGCTGGGATTGAGGGGTTCTGAGAACAGGAGGCAGATCAGGGCTAGGGCCGTCGCTTGGAAGGTGGTCAGGCTCTGGGCAGCTGCTGGAAACAGCAGCATCGTTCCCGCTCCAGCTCCTATGCGGAGATGCAGCCGCATGGCTCTGTGCATTGCCCCTGTCGGAAGGAGCCACCCCTGCAGCTCCCATTGGCCATGGTTCCCAGCCAATGGGAGCTGCCAAGGCAGCGCTTGGGGCGGGGCTCTCTGGCTGCCCATACACATAGGAGCCGGCAGGGGGCCATGCTGCTGCTTCCAGGAGCTGCATGGGCCTCTGGCATGTGCAGAGCAAGGCAAACACCAGACCCTGCTCCCCGGCAGGAGCTCGGGGGCTGGATTAAAATGGCTGCCAGGCTGGATGCAGCCTGGGGGCCTCCGTTTTCCCGCCCCTGCTTTCCAGCATTCCAGACACCCAACCAGGGGGCAGAAATGACACCATGTGACACAGGCGCCCAATCCTGTGCCTTAGATGGGGATGACGTGATAGAGCGCCCCCAGCCCCACCACCCGTTGGTCGGTTGTTCGTGGAGCACAGGGAGCCATTGGCGCGGGCGTGAAAGGCCAGGCCTGGGCACAAATGCTTGGCAAGCAGGAAAAGGGGCTTTAAAGCCTTCAGATAAACCATCCAACCGGATGGGCTGAACAGTTGAGAGGAAACGGCCTCTGGGCCAGAGCCGAGGGATCAAGGCTGAACACACTGGGGCAGCTGGGGGCAGAGGTCCTGCACCCCTGAGTCCCAGTAGCTGCCAGGGGCCTGAGCAGCCCTGGGCACAAAATAGAGTGGCCCCAAGGTGGCTGCAGTTTGTGCCAGCGGATAAGTGCTCCCCGAGAGCTGCTCCTCTGGTCAGAATCACCGGAGTGCCCCGTGCTCTCGCCCGGTCCCCGCCTGAAGGCCAGTGAGAGCCAGAAGCAGCTGCACCAGCTCAGCCCTGCACCAGCTCAGAATTGGCCATAACTTGGGGTAGCCTCCACAAACCCCTTAGGGCAGCTTTCCACCCTCTTTGTGGGTCTGGCTCCAACCACAGACCTGAAAATGCTTGATGGACAAGAGTGTCATTAGTCCTGGATTAAAATGTGGGAGGCGAAAGACCACAGAGGTAAGTGACTGGCTTGGTCCATGCCTCAGTTTTCCCTTCTGTGAAATGGGCTCATGAGTTACTTCCTAGGCTTGGTGGGTCACAGCTGATGGAAGAGACCGTGTACAGAAGTACCGAATCCTATTGCACATTATTTCGGGGGGGGGGAGCGGAGAATATGGTAATTACATGTTGCACCCAGCTGCAGCCTTCTGACGCAGGCCTGGCTGCTTGGTGCCCCAGCGAGATGGAAGCTCAGAAAGGTACTTACGGGTGTGGCTTGACTTTGATGTAATTCTTTGGGATGAAGCCTTCGGAGCCGTAGAGCTCGGCCTTATACCAGTTCTGGTCATCTTCCATATTCAGGATCTAAGGGCATACGAGAAGAGAAAGGGCAGTTGGCCTATTGATTGCACCCTGAGCTATTTCAAACAGAGACCCTCTCCCTGCTGTCCCGGGTCCCAGTGCCAGGATTCGAATGGGGTCAGGATTCAAGCCAGCCCAGAACAGAACATTTTTTCATGGAAAAATGGGGTTTTGTGGAAAACAGCATTTTGGGTTTCATGCAACAATAATCTGATGAGTTGTTAATTAGTTAGTTAGTTAGTTAGTTAGTTAGTTTGTCTGTTTGTCTGTTTGTCTGTTTGTTGCAAGTAGCTCCTGTTCCTGCCTTTAAACTAGATTTGACTTATGTTTTGGAACTAAATTCCCCTGGTTTTTGGGGTGTTCCAGATCCTGATCCAAATTTTTCCAGTTGGTTCCTAGTTCTAGGGGGGCGGAATGCAAACAGCAATTTCTGGGCTACTGCCCAGGCCGATAGGAGCTGAGGAAACATGATGGGCAGTCATCATGAGCACAGATTTGGGATTTTTAGGAAGCCTGTGCAAATTGCCAACCTGGCCCTTTAAAATCTGTCCTATTGGTAGGAGGAGTCCGTTTTGCCTTTTCTTCCCCACAAGAACTCAGTGTTATTCAATGGCATGCCCCCTGCAGGGCAGGAAATCCCTTGGAAGAGAGGTAGGATTTTTAAAGGTCCAAGATAACAAGATACAAATTGCCAGTGAAGCAAAATGTGAACAAGAGACAGGCACAAGTGCCCACTAGGGGTGTAAAATCCCGTTTAATTGGTTAACCAGTTAACTAGTATGTTTAACCAGTTAACCGATTAAAGGGAGAGAAGGGGGCCCGCTCCAACCTAGCTCTGGCTGGCTGGAGCAGCCCATGTCTGTGGTGGGGGGGGGGCCCACCAGGCCCGCCATAGACAGGGGCTGCCCCTGCCTGCTCCAGCCCCTACTGGTTAACCGGAACTGGTAAGCCGGTTACCCAGTTAACTAGTTAACCATTCACATCCCTAGTGCCCACTGGGTCCAGCTGCTCTTCGCTGGCAGCTCACATGAGAGACAGAACTTCACACAGGCACCTGCTTTCAGTCCTACAGAAAGCTAAGGAGACGGTTCTGCAGAGGGACCGACGAGGCCTCTCTATTGTATAATTAGAAGGGCCGAGGCCCAGTTCAGCTGTCACAGTATTTTCCAGTCCTCCTCCGCAGGGCAAGCTGTGTTCAGTGCAGCTGTTGCAAACAGGATCTGAAACCTTTCGCATCACACGGGGCATGTACCTGCTGCTGCTGCTGGCAGACTGGCTGCCTTGTCGTGGCTTTGCCACTGCGGGAAGGGATAGGGGCATGAACTCAGGGCCCCGTGGGTGTGAAGATGCAGGGTGTGAAGATCCGGAAGTCCTGGGCCTGATTGCTCAATTGGCAAGGCTGGATTAAAGCTATGAGGGGACCTATGGCGAATGGGTGGGAAGAGCCTAAGTACGAATTACATATTGCAAAGAAGTGTGACGCCGTCAGAGTTAGGTGTAAGTAACACCGTTCTTCGACTCAGCTCCTCAGACGCCCCGTTTTGTTTGCCTAGCGTCAGCTGTTGCAAAGTCCTGAATTCTGTCGTCGTAGTCCAAGGCCCCGACCATTTCATGCCCAGTGCTCAAGAGGCACAAAGCACTGAGGCGTTCTCGAGTCATGGTAGGCGGGAGGACAGTTTGGACCCTTGTTACAAGAGAGAAGGAAGGTTTTCCACTGCTGTGAGTGATCATTAGTGACAAATACAGCTAATGCCGCTTCAGCATTTGGGATTCACATGGGATTCAGTGATAACTCGGTACGTCCAAATAGATACGCTTTGGTCCTCTTTTCTCTCTATACCTGAGAGGGATGTGAGTTCAGCAAACCTTCCTCCAGGGCTTCTGCAGCCCCTTAAAACAAAAATGGGTTGGCCTATGGAGATGGGCTGAAAGAAATCGGTTGCATTCCAATAAGGAAAGAAATCGGTTGCATTCCAATACAGAAAAACACATACAAGGAACAAAGACGGATTTCTTTGGGGTTTGGTACAGTTCAGTAACAGGGCTCTGGAGAAACCAGAGGTGGGGCTAGCTGGTGGGGGAACAAAGCAGCTGGCATGGGGCATAGTAACTGTTTTTGGTAGGGTTGCCAGATAGTTTCACAAAAAGTACCGAACATGGAGGGGGAAAATTGGTTGAGCAAAAAAAAACCAACCGCACAAAAAAAAAAAAAAAAAAAAGAGTCACAGCCTCTTTAAATCTCCATGCTCCTCCCACCCCCACCAGACGTGTCAGGGAAGAATGTCCCTTGTGGCCTTCCATCCAAGAAAAACAGAAAATACCGGACATTTTACATGTCCGGTATTTTCTGTGTTTTTTTTACCGGACAGAAGCCGCAAATACCATACTGTCCAGGCCATACCAGACTACTGCCAACCCTACTTTTAGGGTCTGTCTGGGCATCCCACACTGTTAACCGGAGGCTACCTGGCCCAGGCAGGTGGCCCTGTCTGTGTCCCTGTAACATGGCCGGGGAGATACAGACCCAAGGGAACGGAAGCAACAGGCTGCCAGATGAGCTGGGGAGCCACAGGAGGTTGCTTTCCCTTGGCTTTCCTGGTGGCAGGAGTGCTCCGGGCTCCAACAGGGGCCCTGGAGCTGCGGAGGTTGGGGAAACCGGGGTGGGGGGAAGGCGTCCACACCGCAGCTATTTCGAAATAGCGGTTTCGGAAGAGGCGTTCTTCCTCATGGAATGGGGTTTACAGAAGTCGCATTGTTATTCTGAAATAATGGTGCCGTGTAAACACCCCC